GGGGGGGGGGGGGGGGGGGGGGTCCTGCTTGGAAGTTTTGAGACCACACTGGTCTTTGGTGGCCTTTTCGATGTTGTCTCTGAATCCATTCCTTTTTTTTTTTCTGTTGCCAGTGGTAGAAAACTTACCTCTAAGTGGCTTAAGGCAAAAGAAACAGGAGTGGAAAGGTGGTTAGTTGGCTGGTGCATTGAATTGCACATGCTGGCTATCCTCAGGCTAGTTTGGTCCAAGTGATAAAATAATAAGCCTTGCACTCTCTTTCCAGGGTTTGCCTTCCCCTGTGTTAGGGTCGCCCTCAGAATTCCCAGAATTCCCTTGGGGGCCCCAGAGGCTCCCAAGCACTTCCAGATCCAGGAGAAAAGAATGCCATCTGCTTCTCAAATAAATGCCCAGGGGGAAAAGGGCTTATTAGGTCTCATTGGTCCTAATCAGGTCACATGGCCACTCTCTAACCAATCACTGTGGTCAGAGGTAGGCTGTGTTCTGATTGGCTAGGTCTGAGTCACCTGGCAAGCCCTACCTAAAGCCTAGAAATTAACACCAAGGAGGAGGATGCACTAGAGCTAAAGTGAGGTTTTGTTGCCTAAAGAAAGAGGATAGAGCCAGGCAGCGTGAAAGCAAACGTTCAAATGTCCCCATCACGCTCCCAACAGCACCCTGCCTTGCGTAATGCTTTCATTTCATTCTGAAGGGTTGTCATACATCGGCAGCCTCTGTGCCAGCCTCGGTGGTGACCTACCCCTTTGGAGAAGGCATCCAACAGATTAAAAACTCAGAAAGCCCTCGAGAGGCCAGGCCTTTGAGAAGTTCTCTAAAGCCAGCCACAAGCCAGTGATGGTAACAGGATGGAAAACAGAGCCGCTCCACTTAGTACGATCACAAATCAGCGCTTTTGCTTGTAAGATGATAATGAGCGTTTGCGCCCAAAATAGAGTGTTTTTTGCTTACTTGCTGGTGTCTTGTCACATCGCATTGCTTGAGTTGTGTCAGATTGCATTGGCTACGGTCGCCTCCATCGGCTGGCATGACCCACTGCTTTGTAGCACAAGACAACTGTTTGGGATCTCTTCTCCCCAATCCAGTGTTTTGCATAAGTGCTGTTTACCAGATGAGGCATTTGTGAATGTTATTAGAATTGAAAACACACCTACCATTTACGCCAGAATGTATTAAGGGCCTCTGGGTAGGACGGTACACAAAATGCTTCCTCACCACCCCTGAGAGGCCTCGACGGGACCAACTGCCTCACCAGAACCCCCCAAGTTTACCTGATATTCACAATTTCCCACTCAGAAACGTCTGCAGAGTTTAGGCTGGCTGCTGGGTAATAGTTTCTGTGTGACCAACTGCCCGTGCCCCTGAGAACACGTTCTTCACAGAAATCATTGTGATAATCTGGATTTAGAGTTGCCTTGTAATGTTAACAGCTAACCATGCAGTTACTAGATGCCAGTGACTGTTCTCATCCCTTGATTTTCTTAAGTCCTTCAGCCCTACAATGGCCCTGGTATCCTGGGCAGGCACAGAAAGATCTAGTAACCGGCCTAATGACCCATAATTCATGGAGCTGAGATTTGAACCCACAAGAACTGGCTTCCAAACTGTGCTCCAAATACGATGCTGTGCTGTGTTGCCCAGACTGTGAGGTTATACGGATAAATACATCGACTCAAGATTTGTGGTACTAAATGGTAGTAAGTGCATAAACAACGAGTTAGATATTGCATATGTAATATTATATTTATAACACAAGATGTATCAATATATAATATTATTATACATGCTCATATAGTGTATAACACATTTATATATGGGAAATGTAACTTACATACATTATAAGGGTTTTTAAACAATGAGAGAAAAAACAATGGCAAACTTAAATTTTGTTCAAACAATAACATGAAGTTGGGAGAAAAGTAATTTCACAGGCATGCGTGTGACTGGGAGGGAAGGTTGGGGCCTGAGCCTGCTGACAGACAAAGCCCAAAGGGGAGACAGCGAAGAGTTCCCGTGTTGGTGACATCCCAGGGTACACAGCCTCATGCCTCGGCTCCCGCCGAGTCTGACCAGGGCGTGGTGGAGGCAGAGGTGGCCAGAGCTTCGGTTGCTGATGGGGAGTGGAGAAGTGAGGAGGAAGGGACAGACATCAATAAAGAGTGAGAAGCCAGCCAGTTTCCCCTGGGGCAGCGCGAGCTGGATGCTGCTGGGGTGTGTGGGAGCCAGTGTAGCACTCGGGCCTCAGCGTTGTCCCAAAGGAGAGGAAGGGTGCTGGGATGGTCCCCCCAAACCTCCATCTGCCAGGGCTCCAGGGCCTCTTCCTGGCACATTCCTCTCCCGCATTTTCAGCTCGGCCTCTGTGCGAGGCAGACACGCTCCCGCCTGGGGACAATCGCCCTCAGCCGGAGAAGCACAGGCGTTCCCAGTAGGCACGCTTGGTGGGGAGGGGCGCTTGCCCAGGAGATGTAGACGGGCCTCGTCATTAGAAGTCTACTGTCAGTAATGGCTGCACTGCCTCCTGGGCTGTTGGGGTGATTGAAGGAGCTAATGAGCATGTGCACTTGGAGTACTGTCTGTTTTCAGCAAACGCTTAACAGCTGGGCGACAGCATAACGGCTCACACAACTAGCAGAGTGCAGGAGGAGATCTGCAAGCTGCAGGAAAGGTGGGTTCGGGTGCTCACGTGCATTGGGCTGAGCAAGAGCACGTGAGCGTGCCAGGCCTGTGCCAACGGGTCCAGAGTGTGAGTTCCGCCAGATGGCGAAGACCATGTCATCTCTGTGTCCCATTTCAAATCTGGCATGTGAAGCAGATCCATTCCCAGACACTCCAAATGGACTCCAATGATCAGTCAAGGCGGGGGCGGGCGGGGGCGGCGGAGTGAGTCAGGGCACTTTGGCGTCATGTAACTAAATCCTCCGGTTGTGTGATGGACGGTTCCATTTCTCTGCGGGCTGTTTTGGCATTGTGTAGACACAGCCTAAATTGGTGCCCACACCTCCCACTAATCATGCTCTGAGAGAGAGACCGCGGCGTTATTGAGATCCCTGAGCAGCACTTTGGCGCGCGCACTATCCCACGGTATCAGGAGATGAAGGAGGCCTTGGAAATGAGCTTTCGAGCGTGAGTAATGACCTTCCGGATGTGGTGCAGGGATTGTCTTTTGAAACTGGTATATCTTGATGGATGATTGAAAAGCTGCTGTCTTTGGTATAGTTTTCGCGGTTTTATATTTGGGGATGTGTAATAAATAAATGTGTAATTGCCCTCAACATGATGCAAGACCAGGAGGTGAGGATGAGACAGAAAAGTCCTATAGCAGCATAAAATTTTATTAGGATTCCCATTGATAGGCAAGGCAGTGTTGTGTGAACAAAGAATGCTCTGTCTTAAGTTGACCAAGATAGAATCAACACAATGAAGATCAAATTCCACCAGCTGGCCTGTAGGGAGGCGGGGGGAGGGGGGAGGAGAAGGGGAGAAGGGGATAGGCGCTCTCATTTTTAACATCCTGGTGAGCGTGGTGTTGGTACCTATATTGATAACGGTAATGACAACCTACTTCGTTTACCTTGTATTCCCGAGGATAAGGTTGGGTGAGGCATTTGCAGAGCTTTACCTAACTGATTTGATGGAAGTGGCTACATTTCACGATGGACTCTAATTCTTCTTAATTCATTTGGGATCTTCTTCTTACAGGTTGTTTTCCATTTTTATTCTTTGAGATCACTGCTCCGCTTAATATATACATACTATATATGTAGCATATACGTATGTTTATATATATAATTTTTTTCTTATTATTTTTAATTCAATTTTATTTTTCTTAACAAATCTCTACTGTTGAAAGTATTACATATGTCCCTTTTTCCTCCCATTGCCCTCTCCTCCTCCCCCTCTCCCCCCTCACCCTACCCAAGTCTTCACCACCCACTGTCTGTGTCCTTGGATTATGCATATACGCATATGAGTTCATTGGTTGATCTCTTCCCCCCTCCACCCTCCCCTGCCTTCCCTCTGTGGTTTGACAGTCTCTTCTGTATATCTAATTTTAATCTTCCATGATGATTCCCATTATTGGCCTTCTACATTGATAAATCTGTCTTCCAAATTAATTTTGATCTCAGTGGGTCACAGTTGATGGGGGAAAACCTTGTGTATGGTGTCTAGAAACTGGGCTCAGCTTCCTTTTCACCCCATGTTTCATTGGGTGAGTCAAAGAATGTTTTTGGTGTCGCTGTATGATCTCTGTTAGAATTTAGATTTGTACGTTAACGACTTTTGTGCAATCATCTCACAGAAGGCATGGACGCAAGAGTGTAAGTTTCGTCCTACCTTCTTTATTCCAATTTAAATGTTCACAGAGGTTGAATAACACAGTTTAATAGATGGCAATGATCAAATTTTTAATAATATATTTGGAAAAGAAAAGATGTTTTTAGTTGTTAGATACCATCCCCTACTAGTAATATTGTGATTTGTCTGAAACTAAGATTTCTTTCTTTGTTTTAAAACCTGCTATGGTCTGTCCGTAATATGTTCCATCACATCTATGCGGGAGACACGCACAAAAGAAATTGCGCTCCGTGTCCTACGGCGAGACTTCATTTTTGTTAAATGGAGGCGTTTGCACTTACCTGATAAATACAGATGTCTTCTTAGGAAAGTCACTAAATTCCTATAGCTTATATTTCCTGTCACACGATTTAGCATTTAATTACCTACCAACTCCAACTCCTCCCCACCAATCCCATGAGTGTTGTTTTCTTTGGAGGTTTGACTTCAAACTTCCAGAACAGTGGTTCTCAGTGGGGGACAGTTTTGTTTCCGGGCGACACTCAGCATTGTCTGGGAACAGTTTTTATTGTCACAAGGAAGCGATGTGGGGAGGGGATGCTACCAGCAGCCAGTGAGCAGAGGCCTGGGAGGCTGACAACACCCTATAGTTCACAGGACGCCCACAGCAGGGAATTACCGGGCCCAAACGGATAATTATCAGGCCCGAACAGTAAGTGGCTAGATCCCTCCCACGCAAGATTTCACGAACTCGTCACTGAGTTGAGAAATCTTGTGTGGAAAGGATCTAGACACTTACTGTTTAGTTTTCTGTTTGGGATCTAGTGCAGACCTGACACCCAGTAGGTGCTCTGTTTAGGATCTAGTGCAGACCTGATACCCAGTAGATGCTCAGATTTCATTTACGAAGAGACTGGGTTTGCCTTGAAAATCAGCGCCCCAAGTAGATTGCAGGACAGAGGTTTTTCAATAGGAACAACAACAACAAAAAAGGTGTTTTGGTTTCCTTTAATTCAGTATGCATGGCTCTCGAGGGAGCAAGGAGAAGGGAGTGTGGTACAAAATAGGAAAAAATAAAGAGAAAGAAGCCACTCCTTGCCGTCAACATCAAAAGGCACCGCCGTTCATCACTGGGGACAATCTTTGTGTGGAGGGTGGGGTGGGAGAGCACTGGCGATCTTATCGCTTTCCTCTGGGGGCGGTGTAAAAAGAGGTGCTTTAGGCTCGACAAACACATCTTGACTCGCTTTTTTCTGAGGCTCCAGGAGAAAAATAGAATTCTCCCAGAGCAGAGTGATCCTTCCCTCCACCTATCAGGGGAGTGGGTGAGAATCCGGCTGATATCCACACCCCACGAGGGAGTAAACAGTGCCCCCCAATCCGTGGCCTTGTGCGCCAGCTCCGCCGTTTCTTCTCCTTGTTCTCATCTCACACTCTTTTTCCCCGAAGCTCAAACTTTTCCAGGCGCTCAGCCTGTCTCTCTGGCGAGGTCTTTGGAGCGGGCCCCTGACAATGTCCTGGTCAGCTCTTTTAGGGTTTTTTTTTTCCCCCGAAAAAAAAAAAGTTGATTTCCTGTTCTGGTGGGCCATACATCACTGACGTCCCCCGTCTGTGCTCCTTGTCTGTGACAGAATGAGAGGTGTCATTTATCACTGGGGCTCGCGGAAGCTGTGGGAAGAGGGATTGAAATTTTTTTTCTGGAAGGCCTCAGTGTCTACCGGCTGCCAGATCATTAAAACGGGGGCTTTCCAAAGAAAGCTGTGTGTGATGTGATTGCACTTCCTGTCAAGGACAGGCTAAAAGAGAGAGGAAACATCAAAAGGGAGCGAGAGAAGGAGGGAGAAGGAGAGAGAAGTTTCTGCCAGGGGCATTTCAAGTCCTGGAGCTGCGAGTGCAGGCTGGGCTGCGGTTCGGCTTGAGTATGTGTTATGTGCATGCTAAATAAGTCCTTCAGAGATTCCACATGGCGCGCGGTGCCAGCGAGGAAACCGAAACAGGAAACCTCTTGAACAACATTTCCTCGCATCGCACATTATGTAGGGCACGGAGACAGACTTGTTCTGTGCGGGGCACGGCTCGCAGCACAATCGCCGAAGAGCTGAGGCAGGAAAACCGATTGGAACAAAAGCAGAGGCTCCCAATAAATCACGAGGCGAAGCTGAGGCCTCCTGGCAGGCGCCTTCTCCAAAGAGACATTTACAGCATCCTGTTTGCAGAAGCGCTCTCGGAAGATGCCCAAGAATATCTTCTTACAGCGCCTCTCCCCTTGGCATGGAGTCTGCCACCAAATGGATCTCCGGGGATCAGAGAATAGACTCCTGCTTATCATTTCTTTGCAATGGGAAGTGGCCTCCCTCTACTCCCCGCATTCCCAAAGCCACAAAAAGAAGCCAACATTTACATGGCCCTGACTTTTACTGATAGACTCGCTTGAATCTTCACCACGGTCCTAGGAGAAGGGCACTCCTGTCTTGAAGATGGTGCCGTGGAAGCACAGAGAGGTTCAGGAACTTGGCCCAGGTTGCACAGTGCTTGGCTAAGCTGGGATTCTAATCCGGGGAGTTGGTTTCTGGAGTCAGTGCTCTTAGCCTGTGATTGGGAGGGTGAGGGATGGACATGGCGAGGAGGCCCTGTGAGTTTTAAAACCTCTGGATTGCCAATGTAGATGTCATATTCATTTAGGACAGCGGTTCTCAACCTGTGGGTCGCAACCCCTTTGGGGGTCGAACGACCCTTTCACAGGGGTCGCCTAAGACAATCGGAAAACACATATATAATTACATATTGGTTTTGTGATTAATCACTATGCTTTAATTATGTTCAATTTGTAACAATGAAATTGGGGGTCACCACAACATGAGGAACTGTATTAAAGGGTCGCGGCATTAGGAAGGTTGAGAACCACTGATTTAGGATGTTAACTAGGAAACGATGACCCAAAGCCTGGGTCAGCAACCTGCAGCCGTGGTCAAAGCCAGCCTGCAGCCTGCATCTCTGGTCTTGTACAGCCAGTGAAGTAAGAGTAATTCTTATATATTTTAAATGGTTAAAATTTTTTGTGGAAATTTGTTTTCCTGTTAAATAAGCACCTGCACAATATTCGCGATTTTGCCTCCTGTCCTATAAATCCTAAAATATTTACTGGCTGACCCCTTACAGCAGTGGTTCTCAACCTTCCTAATGCCTCGACCCTTTAATACAGTTCCTCATATTGTGGTGACCCCCAACCATAAAATTATTTTCGTTGCTACTTCATAACTGTAATTTTGCTACTGTTATGAATCGTAATGTAAATATCTGATATGCAGGATGTATTTTCATTGTTACAAATTGAACATAATTAAAGCCTAGTGATTAATCACAAAAAACAATATGTAATTATATATGTGTTTTCCAATGGTCTTAGGCGACCCCTGTGAAAGGGTCGTTCGACCCCCAAAGAGGTCGCGACCCACAGGTTGAGAACCGCTGCCTTACAGGAAAGTCTGCTGACCTCTGCCCTCTGTAAACTCAGCTACGGAAAAAAATGAAAGCACTAGCCGTTGTGGCTCAGTTGATTGAGCGTCACCCCATACACCAAAAAGTCACCAGTTTGATTCCCAATCAGGGCATATGGCCAGGTTTCAGGTTCCATCCCCAGTCGGGGTGTGTGGGGGAGGCAACCTATCAATGTTTCTCTCTCACATCGATGTTTCTCTCTCTCATAGGTCTCTCTTTCTCTCTCTTTCTCTCTCTTATAAATAAAAACATGTTTTTTTAATAATATTAAATTTTAAAAGGAAAGAAAAAAAGAGAAAAAACAAAAAGAAAGAGGGAAAGGGGGAGGA